TTCAAAAAATAATTTATATTACATCAAAAAGCTATAACTTTCAGGTGAACCTTAATATTTTCTACCAATATTTTGTGAACTTGCATTAACGATCTAGATTTTTCACTCTAATTTGTTACTATGTCACCATTTAAATATAGTTAAGCCTGCAACAACAGTCTTAAACATTTACTCTAAGTTTATGAAACTCTGTGAAGCCTATGAAGGGGTTATCCAGATGGGGTAATCCAGACGGGGCACTACGTGACTGGAAGATTTCCCTCACGTATCTGGAAGGCCCCTCTAATCTCAATGTCAGCAGACTCACTGTGAAATGCAGTCAGCGATGGCAACAGTGCCAGTTGCCCGCAGTCCTGAACTGTGTGCTCTGCTCTGCTTCTGCCTTGCTGTATGACCTGATCCCTCCATCCCTTCATCTCTCTGTGTCTGAGTTTCCTCATCTGCAACATTGGAATAATTACATATGTCACCCACTTACTGTATAGCAGTACCAACATAAAGCCTTTAAAAGCACTCAAAAGGTTGGGGAGGTACAAGATCTGTCAAACTTACAATGCTATTTTGTAAATCAGCAATGTTAAACATTTTTATTGGTTTATAAAGTTGAAAACCTGTATATTAAATTTTTTCAAGGTTTGTATAAAAACCTTATCTACATTATCTAGATTATCTTAACTAATTATCTAGAAATGCTTTCAAGGATTGGAATAAGAGTTCCTTTCTCTACATAATTTCTTTCAGGCCTTATTCCAGGCAATGTTCCTTAAAACTGTAAACTTAAGGATAAGGAATCCCATGATCGATTTATATAATTCCAAATCTATGTATGTTATTTTTATCTTAAACCTTAGGAGAAATAATTCTCTCAAAATATAAACATGAAAGTTGGACTATCTCTGACTAGATTTTAGCTTTTATCATTGCTTTAAAATACATTCCGTTGATTCCCCTTAATTTTGTACAATTGTGCGTATGTCCTTTAATATTAGATATTAGTCTTATAGTCCAAAATTTTGTTTTCTACATCAGTACTTAAGACTTTTTGGAAAATAAAATGTACTATAAATTAATTTTCTATATCACTAATACTATTAACATAAAATTCAATTCAAAGCCTCCCTTCCAGTAGTGTTTAACACTGTGTTAAAAAATCAATTTCATTCGACAAATACGAATATCCTACTAGGTTCTAGTCATTATACCAAGGACTCAGAATATAAAGATGGCCTTGTCCTCAGAGAGCTTATAACCTACTTTAGGACAGTAATGTTTAAATTTTTACACTGTCTATTATTAAGCACTTTGGCAAGTACATTAACCTTCACATTAGGACCACACTATTAAAGTACTACAGCAATAACTTACTTCTCAGAGTTACATACACATATGTAAGGGAAGAACAGAGCTCAATTCATCGTATTTTATGGTAACTCTGCAATTAAAAAATAAAGAGAAAATTTCCATTCTTCTTCAAATACTGGTCTTGGGTTAGAATGAATCATCATCCATAATTTTTTTTCTTTGTAATCAACAAGTCTGTATTTGCAAGATGAACAGGCAAGTTAAGGCTGCAGACTGGTCTCTTTATGTGGCATCAATGGACACACAAAAAACTTCAGTGTGAAAGTACTGGCAGCTGTCTCTAACTAATTGGCCTGGAAAAAGAACACCACCTTGTCAAAGATACTACGATTTCTTTTTCTGATAGACAATCTAAAATGAAAACAAACAAAACAAAGAATAAACATTCCATAAGTAATAAATAAGTGTTTCATAAGATAAAGTACATTATGGAGATCAAAGGGCTGAGAAATACTCTCCAAAGCGAAAGAAAAGGACAAAATGGCATTCACCTTCTTCAGTCTACAGTCTACAGTGAATCCCAGAGGAACACTTAATATTATTGACAAATTCATTTGTAAAGTCTTTCAAAAAGACCTAAATTACACCATGTCTATTTCTCATCTTTAGTCATATGATTAGATAGTTGATCACATTTGCTGATAAAAAAAATGATAGGAGTCATATATTATTTGAGTTCTACTGTTATATAAATAGTTACAGATAAAAGAATTGCAATGAAACCAACCAACACCTATCGCTGAAATATTGCGACTCAATTCCAACTCAAATATTCCAACTCAAAAGGATTAAAATACATAGAAGTGGATGACTACTTATGAAAAAAATGTGTAACTGAAGGAATATAAAGAATTTTATAAATCTAATTAATATAAGCTGGAGTTTGAAATGTAAAATAAAATTTTTCTGGATATTTGCCAAATTTCCAGATTAATTTATTTTTAGATGGCTTCCTATCTAAAAGGAACATTTCTCTATTGTTACAAGAGCTATATACACTAATTTTTAAAATACTGCAATGATAGTATCTAAATTTTTATATACTTTGTTTCACTGTTTAAGCGTTTATTGTAAATTCAACCTAGCTTTACTTTAATAAATAGTTTTATACAACTCACCACTTTTGCATCAATTGCAACCTGAGCGAAGCCTTTACGATTACCCCATATAATGTTGTAGGTCTCATCACTGATAAGGGCTTCTCGAACTCCACCTGGCGAAATAGCTAACAAGTGACCGCTCCTCAGAATTTCAACACATTTTTCTCTTGGTCCATGTAGAGCACAAAATACATCAAGTAATAGACTAAACCCTGTAAGAAACATCAGCATGAAAATATATCTTAAGAACTTCTTGTCTAAGTCTTTAAGAACAAACATCTTCACAATCTACATAATTTACTATCTATACTTAAATCAGTAAATTCTTTTTCACTTTTTAAAATAAGAACTCTTAAGGTTAACATAAGATTAATATTGCTGGAAAAGCAATAGCTATGTCTTATTGATCAACTAATATTGATGATCTCCTTAGTAATCACCTGCTACTCTGGCTACTTTACATATCTAAACTTTTAACTTACAAAAACCTTGGAAAACAAAGATTCTTATCCTCATTTTATAGATGAGGAAAAGTTGGCTCAGAAAGTAAGTAGCTTACTCAAAGTCACAGACCTAGCAAATGGCAGGGCAGAGATTCCAGTCCAGTATGTCTAGTCCAAAGTTCTTTTCACTGAATCTCACAGCTAAACATTGTCTACAGTATTTATCAGAGCAATCAGAAATGGTAGCCCATCAGCAATCACAAATATAATCTTCCATTAACCCTATAAAAAGAGAATCACTCAAGAGAATTTAAATCTGACTATGCTCAACCCTATTAAAATTGGCAAGCCGTAATCAAATCTACTGAAATTAAAAGTTAGATGATGATAATTCCACAATTAAAATTTTTAAATAAATAATAACAACAAAATCATTAAAAGCTTTTAGTAAAGTGAGTGCGAGATTCAGGAGCAGTTCATTCCAGGTCTTAATATTATATTGTTTTTTCAAACTACAACTGTTTATAAATGAAAAAAATAATCCTGTCAAGTAACTAAATATTTTAACCAATTCCTAAATTGGAACTTTAGAGGACTAATGTTAGTATACATTATTCCTTGAAAATGGGAAATATGGAAATGAGCAGTGAAAACTGTGTAGACTAACCAAACTTCTTACAGGTTTTAGGATCTGAAGCAAGGTTAGAAATATTAAGGTTGAAATAATTTTCATTCTACATTTCATTAAAAGCTCAATGATTTAACTTGATGCATTCTCACAATCAATGAATAAGGGAGGTTTCATAAATTATAAGACCATAAAGATCATGAAGTAGGAAAAATTTTTTAAAGCCAAATGCTAAATAAAAATATTCACATTCTATTATGCATAAAAAGAAAAAAAATGGAAGCAACCTAATGTTCCATACGAGAAAAGTTTTAAATATTTTAAAACTGTTCTTAATTTAAAAAACAACTTCTTTATAAAACATGATAAAATATTAATGCTAACATTAATTTTATTTAAAACACAAAATCATCTGCATAATGTGAAAGTATGCAAATTAAAAATGAAGTAAAATAAATCAAAATGCTGACTGGTTATGTTAGAGTAGTAAAATTACAATGATCTTCTTTCTTCTAGTTTCCAAATTCATTATAAAGTGATAATATTACTTTCTAAACAAAAACCTCTTATAGCTAATTTAGTTTATAACCAAAATACAAATGACTTTTTAGTGACATAAGAATATCCAAAACATTAACCATGTCTATGAAAGACTCTGAGTAGATTGTTATTTAATTCACTGCTTTGTGTTTGTCTGGTTGATGGGTGGCTTTTGTTTTATTATTCCAGAGTACAAAACTATAAACTTTTTGGCCTGCTTCTGGTGACTTAGTGACAGAAGAAAATAAGATTTAAGCTCAATGACGTTATTTTAGAATGATTTATTTTAAAACTGTATTGTGTTTGAAACTATTTGGTTAATCAATCTTTTTAAAAAGGTACAAAGCCTTTACGAACAGATTAAAAAGAATTTAGTCCTCAATCTTAAGAGTAATTACCAGCCAAGTCAAACATGAGACAAAATAGACTCTTTATACCAATATATAAATTGGCAAAAGTTATAATTTATTTTTTAAAATGAAAGTACAGGATTTAACTTCAAAAAAATTCAACTAATTACCTGTTAATAAAAAAAAATAATATAATATTTTGGCCATAATGTTTTTATATTTAGATATTAGCTAAGCAGGATAATTAGATGCTCCCAAACTGGAGTTCCAAGTGTGTTACCTAAAAAGGCAAAAATCTTTTCCAAATTACACTCAAGAGCCCCAAAATATAAACTATCACATAATTTGATTGTGTTAATTAAACATTTTTATATCACAACAGTGAAAATTTACCTGGAATTTTAAAGACAAAGTGATCAGCTACCACTCGGCAAGTTCTGCCTTTATGGATAAAAATTTTAGCCATGAAGTAGTAAAAATCTATTGGAATAGCTCCATGATAAAAAATTATAAGTGCTGGTCCTTCTTCTGGTATTTTTTCCATTCCATGAACTTCATAACCTGTTAGACAAAACACAAATACTTAAAATATATTTATTAGTTATTTATACTAAAGAATGGTTACTAACTCAGAAACACAGTCTTTCTTACAAAATGTTGAGCCTTCCTGTTTCTCTTCCTCTTTCCCCCGCCTTCCCTCCTTGACAATCAGTTCTGAGCCATTAAGTGGGCCACAGCGAAGTAGGCACAGTGTGGAGGGGTGGCTCAGAGTGCTAGAGCCCAGGCAGCATGAGAACGGCAGCCACACAGGGAGGCCTGGAGTGGGCAGTCAAAGGCCAAGCACCGTCATGAGAGCATCCTCGCAAAAAAGCCTAGAACAGGGTGCTGAGGCCTGCATGGGAAAAGGAGGAGAGCCAAGGATGGGGCAAGTATGGACGTCAGAACCTGAGTGAATTGAGCACAGCATCCAGACAAGTAAGTGGCCTGGTACAGGGTGTCACCACCCGAGTGGGGTAAGATGGTATCCGTGAGTGGCAGGGGATGACGGCAGTGGTGGGCGACTGGTTACTAATGGGGAATTGACCAAACAAGTCTATATATTAAGGATAACGTGAGCCAAGTTTCTCAGTGTTGAAGGCGGCTGCAAATACAGAGCAGGAGAAAACTACAATAAACTCTGCAGTTGTAAGAGAGCTTCACTCCCACACTAAGAACAAGAAAAAGCAGCATGTCAGAAAGCTCAGGTCAACCTCTCAATCAGGTGAACTGAGCTCCAAAAGGTGACAAGCCCCGCTAATGAGAGAAAAAAGTGAGTATGGGAGGAAGTGGTAGGTGCCATAAAGGTAGGGCAAAGAAAACTGAAATATTAACAAATACTTAAAAGGGCAAATGTGGGAGAGCACTGAGTGTAGAGTCCCGTGGCACCCCAGATACAGAGTCCACACCTACTCACCAGCATTGCTGCACAAGCCTCACATGGTGCTCTCAAGAAACATTAGGGGCAGGGCAGGCAAGAGACCCAAGAGAGCCCCTGATAATGGTACAGAGACCAAAACCCCACTCACTTCCTGGAAACTTCTCTTGTAAAAGTAAAGTGACACTGGGAAAGGTGCAGAAACCCCCTCCACCCCATTCTAAGGAAGAAGTGTACACAAAAGGCATCTGATGCTGGGAAGGACAGAGCCCCATTTCCCCACTCCTCTCTCCTGCCTAGCCCCACCCCCGACTCAGGCAAAACTCCACTATTACTACAGGAGGGAGAAGCCAAAACATCTGCCACTGGGAGGTATAGGGCAGGCCCAGGCTGCTGAAATGACATAAAGCAGAGATCTGCTACCACTGAGAGGAAGGCAGGAAACTTGCTCCCAAACCCAAACCACCTACACACGGCACAGTCTCCCTGCCACACCGGAGAGTGTGGAGCACTGAGAGAGCATCATGCTTGGATCCAGGCACACAGGGCTTGTGGAAGATTCTGGCTGAACCAGGAGGATCACGGAGTGCCCCCGCCACCTGCACCCTTGCCACAAGCCACACATGGAGTTGCAAGCAAAGGCAACCTTTCCCTGGGGGAGAGGCAGGAGCACGGGGAGAGCCCCTCTGTAGCACAGGTATATAGGATTGAGGCTGCAATGGGAACATCGACGAAAATCCCCTGGCACTCTTGGCTCTACATATGTACAGTTAGCAGTGGGATTTTAAAGTGCTGAACTGAAGGTAACTATAGCTACAATAAAATCCGACCCAGTTCAATTGCTGAGTAGATTGAATTAACCTCACCCCACTCACTAATGGTTTAACAGAAAAAGGACAATTTTCAGTGACAAATTCTATTTACCTCATTCTCCACTGTTCTTTTACAAACAATGCCCAGAATTCATTAGAAAAATTTATGGAACATACAAAACGGCAAGAAAAAAAATATCCATCATCAAGAGAACCAGACCCAAATGTTTAAATTATCGGACAGTAACTTTAAAATAACTATGTTAATATGTTAAAAGATCTAGTGGGAAAAATGGATACATAATCATATTAGAAATTTCAGTAGATAGAAGGAAATTATAAAACAAAGCAATGAGTCAAACGAAAAAGCTACAAACCTGCATGAGATCTAAGGGTTAAATGTTAATAATAATCAATGTTAATTCTCTGATTTTAATGGTTTTATTGATGTTAAATGGAATATTTTTGCTTGTAGGAAATATACACTAAAAGTGTTAAAGAGAAGGTAATGTAGGCACTTATACTCACATGATTTAGAAAAATAAGTTATTTGTATAATACTTGGAATATTAACTTTTTAAAAGACTACAAATAAAAAATAATATTGCCTTCTATGGAAAAATCATAGAAGATCAGAGACTTTTCTGTAAGATCAGAGAATCATAGAATCTATAAGATAAAAAGAACCTTCAGGTTCTAACATAAACAATATTAGAATTTAAAACTATTTTTGATTGTTAAGGTTATCCAAGAAATCGCACATCTCTGAAACATCACGAACACTTTATTGAATCTGCTAGCTCCTAAAAAACAATCTGGACCCTTCTGTGTAAATCTGATATCGAGTAACTGCTAAAGAGTACAAGATTCTACTCACTACAAGCAGGTTATGAAAGGGGTAAGAAAATGAACAGATAAAGGGGAGTGGATGAAAAGGGCAGGGGTAGGAGACATTGAATAAGTTAAAACTTCCCTATAAAATAACACAACCTAGAGTAAAATTTAACAGTCTATAATAATTCATTGCTAAAAATAGGAAAAACTCTTAACTCATGACCTGATGCAAAATAAAACACCATTTAAACTGCTATATACATGTGGCTAACTTAAAAATGCTGTCAATTAAAAAAAAAACTATTTAATTCACAAATTATTCTTTAGAAATTCCTATTTTATTTAATAACAAAAATGATATTATTGAATCTAACTACTACATTCTGGGCGAAAAATTGTGATCAGAGATTTGAACTGGATATCAAGAAAACACCTCTCTGGAAATATAAATAAAATTAGAGACTCGTGCCATTCTTTATCTGTTCTTCCTGCCACATTGTAAACCCTATTCCAAGTCACCATAGGCAGGAACAAGGGTTTCAGCAAGCGAAGCAAACGACAACATAAAAAGGGTGGTGGAGATAGGGCTGGGAATGATCTCTGGAGGCCTCCTTCTAACTTAACCCTAGTTCAAGGTTGGCTTCCTGGCCATACATTTTTTTTTTCCTCCTCCAGCTAGAGATTAATCTGCCTAGGTCCTCTGCTACCAAACACCAAGACATTTCTTACAGTGACCCTGTGCTATTGGTGGATTGTAGGGATTATAAAAGATTTAAGTAAGATCCACTTATGTTTCAGGAAAATACTTTGGATATTTTATCACAGGAGTTGGGAACTGATACTCTGGAGAGCAGATGAAATGTGATCATGTTTCTAGTCATAAGAGCTACTTTTCCTTCTCATCTCACCATTGTCAGGCCACGACCTCTGCTGATTCTGGCAAAAAGAAAAAAGCCTACTGAATAACCAACGGGTCCATGAAGAAATCAAGAAAAATAAAAAGATAGCTTGAGACAAATGAAAATGGAAATGCAACACACCAAAACGTGGAATGCGGCAAAAGAAGTCTAAGAAGGAAGTTCATAGCAATAAATACCTACCTCGAGAAACCAGAAAAATTTCAAATAACCTAACTTTATACCTAAGAGGAAAGAAATAGCAAAGATCAGAGTGGAGATAAATGAAGTAGACACTAACAATAGAAAAGATCAATAAAACCAAGATTTGGTTCTTTGAAAAGATAAACAAAATTAACAAAACTTTAGCCAGACTCACCAAGAAAAAAGGGCTCAAATAAATAAAATCATAAATGAAAGAGGCTATCTCTCAACTGATACCTCAGAAATACAATCATTAGAGACTACTATGAACAATTATACGTCAATGAACTGGACTACCTGTAAGAAATGGATAAAGCCCAAGAAACTTACAACCTTCTAAGGCTAAATCAGAAAGAAACAGAAAATCTGAATAGTAATAACACTGAATCTGTAATCAAAAACCTCTAAGACTAGACAGCTTCACCGGTGAATTCTACCAAACACTCAAAGAATACCAATTCTTTTCAAACTCTTCCAAAAAAAAAAAGAGGAAGAAACCCTTCAGAACTCATGTTACCAGGCAAAAATTACCCTGATTTCAATATCAAAGACACAAGAAAAAAAAAAATTACAAGCCAATATCCCTAACATAACAAACCACATTATCAAAATGAAGAATAAAAATCATATGATCATCTCTACAAATGCTGAAAAAGCATTTAACAAAATTCAACATCCATTTATGACAAAACTTTCAACCAAGAGTATATAGAGGGAATGTACGTCGACATAATAAAGGCCACATGTGAAAAGCCCACAGCTAACATACTAAATGGTGAAAAACTAAAAGCAATTCCACTTCCAGGCATTTATCGGAAGAAAAGGAAAACACCAATTTGAAAAGATATATGCACCCCATGTGCAGTAATGCACTGCAGCATTATTTACAATAGCCAAGATATGGAAACAATCTACGTACACTGATGAATGAATGAATAAAGAAGATATGGTACACACATGCACATGCACACACACACAATGAGATACTATTCAGCCATAAAAAAATTAAATCTTGCCATCTGCAACAACATGAATGTGCCTAGAGGGTATTATGCCAAATGAAATAAGTCAGAGAAAAACAAACATTATATAATCTCTTATATGTGGAATTTAAAAAATAAACAAACAAAACCAAGCTCATAGATACAGAGAACAGAATGGTGGTTGCCAGAGGCAGGGGGGCAGTGTGAAATTAGTAAAGGGGGTAGAAGGTATGAATTTCAGTTATAAAATAAATAAGTCATGAGGACGTAATATACAGAATGGTGACTATAGAAAATAATTCTGCATTGCATATTTGAAAGCTTCTAAGAGAGTAACTCTTAAAAGTCCTCATTATAAAAAAACTTTTGTAACTATATATGGTGATGCATGTTAACTGCACTTACTGTGGTGATAATT